CCCCCCCCCCCCATTTTGTCAACCTTCTGTAGATTCAAACAAGTTTTTTTGTTTTTCCCAAGGGGGTCCTCACTATAGAGATTTCAATGTACCTCTTAAACGCTTGAAATGCTCTCGTTACAGTGACATTTTCCATGCTTATGCCATTTCGGGTGTCCAAGATGGAAAGCCAATTTTACAAACTCAAAAACCGTTTGCTTTGGTCTAGTAGGGCTGCAACATTTCCTTACTCAAAGTGTCCTGAAAATGGTTTCCCGCAAACAGACCCTTATTATTGTGAGGCAAGACGCGCGTTCCTCCGCGCGCGGGGAAGATGTGAGACGAGTCGAGGAGAGCTTTACCGGGGTTTGGCACTAATGAGAAATGCTAAACCCCTTGCAGACCTTTCGCGGGCTCACGTTGCTCGAGGCCTCGTACTTTGCCGCGCGCGGGCGAACAAACGTTCTTGCCGAAGCGCTAATACTAAAGGCTTGCTCGCACGTGATGAAAATGCGAAGAAGTTCATAGTAAACATAACTTTTCTCACTTGTTCATTCGTTCGCTCTCTCATTCATTCGTTCATTCAGTTATGTACTTACGTATGTATTCATTCTATATTTCATTGTTGATTAAATGATTGATTAAGTAATCTAATTATGTAGTAGTTTTAGAAAGCAGCTGACCGTTCTTCTTACTGTTCGTATTTTTCGTACAGTTTTCATCCTTACCAATCTAGTTTTTTTCCTCTTCAGATCGTCATTCTGGGGCAACAGAAGAAGTCAAGAAAAGCGAGGAGCTGTTGTTCAAAGAGGTTTGTTAAACTCGTCCTACTCATAATCGAATGCGCATTCATCTTTTCCATCTTCCCACCGTATCTTACTTGGTATTTTCTACATCTGTTGATATGACCGTGTGATTGCCAACTGTTGAACGCTCTTTAATAGTGCTAGCTCCTGCTGGGCTTAAAAAAAAGGTGCGTGAAAAAGAGCAGGGAATAGCGACTGTTTCCTTTGCAACTGCAGCTTCTGCTTTTCACTCACCCGCCCTTACGTTCGTCTTCTCTGAATGAAAAAACGGATGCCCTTCGCTCAAACCTAGGCATGCGTAGATGGATCAACTTTGGACAGCTGTGCGCCGAATTCCCGCGCAACAGGACATAGGAAGACACAAAAAACAATCGCTGTCACTTAAAATGCAACACTCTCGTCACACTCTGGTGTTTATTTTAGGTAAATGAAGCTTACAGTGTGCTATCAGACCCCAAGAAAAAGGCAAGATATGACTCGGGTCAAGATCTCGAAGACGGCATGATGATGTCAGGTAGGTTGGCAGCCTGTGATCTGGGATCTAGTGCATTTAAAGTGGTGTCCGTGGACTCAAACAAGACTTCTTTTCACCCCCATATGCTATTTGTCTATTTATTATTATTATTTTAATTAGGGAAGGGAAGAATGGTTTATTGTGTGCCAACTTTCCAGACAATTATCTAGGAAAATAATTTTCAATTATGAATTATGATGTTTACGCTTTGTTTCATGGAACCCCTCCCCCTCTCCCCCGCGCCACGTCATTGGTCATGCTCAAAGTGTTTACATACCTTTTTTCAATTGTTTGAACAGATATCGACCCCAGAGATATATTTCAAGCATTTTTCGGAGGGCATGGAGGATTCGGTGGGTTTAACTTTGGAGGACCTGGAGGTATGATGTTCAGCATTGTTTTTTGTTTTGTTTTTGTTGTTGTTGTTGTTTGTTTTTTATGTTTTTTAACGGACCAACTTGGATGGATGGTCAACGTTTGTCCATAACACGAGCCGGATAAAAATAATTACTTGCGTGCTTCGCGCACTTCGCTTACGTGAAAACGCAAGGTTGCAAAAATGATCATGCCAATGATACCAGTAATGGTGTTAATGGTTATGACAGGAGTGGTGTTAATGGTACGAAATAACGCCTGATTTGTAGATTATCCAGTGTGGAATATGACTTAAAATGTCGCGCTTGTTTGTCGCGTGACTGCTTACATACATCGCCTATCAATGTGGCTTAAAATGTCACGCTTCTTTGTCGCGTGACGACTTACATGCATTGCTTAACTCCTTTCCTTGTCTACAAGATTTCTCTTTTAATCTTTCAGGTGGTGGTTTTTCATCAGGAGGCTTCCCCGGTGGTGTCCAGTTTACATTTGGTTAACTTCTACTTTTGCCATCTTCCATTATCCACAAATATATCACAAAAATATAATGCTGACAAGATCACTAGATCGAGGCATCTTTTTCGCAGTAGTAACATTATTTCTTGCACAAGGAGTGTCAGTTCAAACTCCAGTGACACGCAATTTTGCGTTCAGGTTGACAATGGCGGATAATTTGTTGGAAGGAGAGAGAGGATCAAGATGGGAACGACGTAATTCAAATCGCGTGTTAATCAACAGAGAAGCTAATTCATTCGTCTGGTTTACTATCAGGAGGAACTTCCCCTCCCTTCCCCTCCCTTCCCCGTGTTTCTCCCTTCTTCGCCCCCCCCCCCCGCCTCCCCACTCCCTAACATCGTATATTGAGTGTTAATTTAATCTGAAACGCATTCTATAGCATCTTTTGTAGTAGAACAAATCGACAAACGTAGATGTGAAATGATCTCCATGATCTTTATAAATTTATCTAAGTAGTTTTATAATTTTTATTTTGTCATTTTTATTTTTATTTTATCTCTAAAACTTAACCCTTTTTCACCTAAGAGTTAAATTCAATTCTCCACACTGTTTGCCGTACATGTCTTGGAATTTTATCGCTAAGAATTTGATGTTAAATCAGACGTTCTCCCCCAGCATATAGTTTTTTCAGTCTTTTGACAGCCGTTCAATTGGAAAATCTATTGACAGGATCAGGTGAGAATTGCTGTGATCTCCTAGGAGTGAAAGGGTTGATCAGTTTTCGTTCTAAACTGGTTACTGAGTGTTTCCTATAGTTTCAAACTTTGTGTTTACAGTAACATAGCAGTTCTCCGAAGGCGTGGTTTTGCGGATGGCTTGAAGAAGTATTTTGTTATAGATAGATGCTGGTAAATAAAATCTGAAGTCATTATTCTGTTTCCTTGTCTTTCTCGTGGTTATCATAAGACCTCAAGGCTCTGCACACACGAGTCTGAAGAAATTCGGAAGATTTGAAACTGCAACTCCGTTTCATCGATTGCCGTAAATCAGAATGTGAATAAACCGGTATCTCAGAGGTCATGGGTTCAAATCCCGTACGAGCCTGAATTTTTTTTTTTTTTCAGGTCCTATTTTCAACTACTAGTTCAGTAGTGTTCTTAGCTGCGAGGATCTCTTAAATTCGTTTCTTCACCGCAGTGTAAATATATGAATTTCATATATCTAAAATCATCGTGAATAGATTATTCACCGTAAACGGATCTTTGCGAATACTCCCTGTATGCCCCATACACACGCATATGTTTTCATTCGAAAACGTTTACCTTTTGCACGTGTTTGCCAATCGTTTTACCTACTAAAATTTTTTGAAAACGCCTCGTTCTTGAGATGCTCCGTTGCTCTACGGACGGATCCAAATGGAGGCTTTTCAAGTGGTGACCGAGAAGGCGTCACAGTATTGTTGCTTCTACCAGCGTGATGGGAGATTTTTAATTGTGGACGACAAGAGGAATTCAGAAGTTTGCGGTAACAATAAAAAACGAAGTATTATAGACGAGTGAGAACAAGACGGAAAAAAGGAACTGGTTCTATTGGTGGATGGTTAAATGTAGCCTTGTATTCTGTAGTTCAGCCTGACAGACCCTTACGAAAAAAAATGAAACAAAAGCAAACGACTCAAAAAGAGACTCGCTCTTAAACGCAAAAGCCGCGAAATTTGATTAAATTGATCAGAGTTATAAAAAGTGTTTTGAAGCAGTACTTTTAGTGCTCGCTTTCTGAAAATTCATTGCATTTGCTTGTCGCAATCTAGAAAGCCGCCATTATCCCTCAGTTGCATTGTTTCATTCCTTTCAATAGCAGAACAATGCGGCGTGCGTTTCAAATGCGCGCACCGCGCTAGAGCTCGTGAAATCATGTAAACTTTGAATTTTAAAAAAATGCAGAGGTGAATGTAGACGCGATCCTCGCAGTTATGAACACTACTGAACTAGTAGTTGAAATAGGGCCTGAAAAAAATTTAGGCCTTTTGCAAAGGTATTCTTTCGTGAATAGCGATCAAATACAAAGGTTCACAATTCATCTCAATAAAGCGGTATGTTTACATACTAATTTGAAAGGAGCACCGCATTGGCGGTAAATTTGAAAAGTATAACAGATCCTAAAGAAAGTTTGCGTCAGTCGCCGTCAGATTTCAAGCGATCACATCAACTACCAAAGTGTATTAACGACTTAAACGAGATGGAAGAGTACGCAACTGCTTTAAAGAACTCTGTGTCACTTGTAATGGGCCCAGTGAAGCTCAAAGACGAATTTTCACACAGAAAGTCTTCATTTATGGTTGAAGATATCGTGCGGAATCAAAATTTTTCGCCATGTCCGGAGAGGCGTTTGCCTGATCCTAGCTTTCGAGACGAAATGCAAACTCCGCAAGCGATGGCGAGTGGTGGTCGTTCATCAAACATGCCCTCAAGTAAGAATTATTTTTTATGTTATCATGATATTAGATACATTGTTTTTCATTTTAAGTTAAGTTGTACATGATGCTTTGAGTGTGTAGTTGATCGATCGCAAAAGAGTTGCGTACCTTCCATAACTGTTTCAGATGTTTCCTCTCCTACATTGGTTGAAGATTCAAACTTAACATCAGCAAATTGTCGTGATCATTTTCAACTGTAGATTGTGCATATGACACAAATAGCTAACCTATTTAAATTTGTTTCACCTACAATTTTCCTCCTTTTTTCGCACAAGAGACTCAGTTTTAGGTATTTAGTCGCGATTCGCAATACACGGGGAAATTCAAGTACAATTTACTAAGTATTATATTAATTATTTGATGTATCTTTGAAATTAAGCCACTTAAAAACTGTCCAAGTTTGGCTAAATTAGCCTCCAGGAACACCTTAATATAAGCCACTCAAGTAGCAAGTTTCCAAAATCTTACATCTTTGTTTACACACATTTCTCCAATTAGGTTAAACTCATCTTGGCAAGGTCTCCGTATAACCCCATATTTCATTACGGAAACAAGTCTTCGATAAAAGCGAACAATTGCGAGACAAATTGACCACCTTTTGGATTAAAGCTCCGTTTTAGAAAATTATGGGGTGATTTTAAGATCTTCCTATGGCCACGGTGCCTTATTTCGGAACGAAAAAGGAAAAGAGAAACTGCGCATTTTTTAGTTGATTGGGAGCGCGCGCGCGCCTTCCCCCCCCCGCTGAGAGAAATGTCACTATAAAAAACGTATTGCTGAAGTTAAAACTAGTTATAATTGCAAACAATACATGTCATCATGTCTGTTATTGGGGCAGATAAGCCTTTAAAAACAAATAAGACCTCAATTTCATTTGAATCTCCGATGGTGACGTCAGCCTTCTTTCTGTTCACAGGTTGTGAGGAACCAAGCCCTGTGAACGGCCGATCCAGCAAATCCCGTTCTTCCTTCTCAGTGGAACAGGTTATGCAGTTAGAACGAGTTTTTGAACGACAGAAATACCTGGGTTCGAGAGACAGACAGAGGCTCGCAGAGCAGCTACAAATGAGCGAGACACAGGTAAACAAATTGTTTCTGGGTGTAGGATGGGCTTTCTGTTTTGGATTTTGGATACTACTGGCCTATTTTAGATTTTAAATTTTGGACAGTAGTGGCGATTTTGGACTTTGGACACTGGTGGCCGATTTTAGATTTTGAACACTATTTTGGACACCAGCGGTCAATTTTTTAATTTTGGACGCAAGTGTCTCATTTTTTGTTTTTGGACACAAGTGGCCGATTTTGGATTTTGGACACTAGTATGCTTATTTTTTTAAATTAGAGTCAGTATACAATTGAAAAAAAAGGAAGATCATATGCTTCATTCTCGATAAATGTATCATTTGGAATTGTGTTTGTGTTTCTTTTTCTTTTTAGTAATTGTACGAAAAAGTATCATAATTTTCAACGAATCCTCTACAACCAGGATTGTTAGTGAAACTGGTTGCACCACCTAAATACACTTATTTATCAGAAATTATTCTTTTTCAGGTGAAAACATGGTTTCAAAACCGACGAATGAAGATGAAGAAAAAGCTTTCAGAGGCCAATGAGCGCAGAGCTAAAATATCTTTTCTTGACAACCTCGCTTGCATGCAGCAGACAGGATATCATGGTTATCAAGCTCACCAACCATATCCTCCCCCATGCCCACCGCCAGAGGCGACGCATCTTCTCCACCCAAGTCTCCCTCCGCCGGAATGCGCCTGGCTGAATCAGTCACCTTTCACTTTCCCGCCAAATCAACCGTTTCCAAGGTATCTGCCACCACCGCCTCCATCTTGGGAGTCCCTTCCAGAACACATGATCGATAGATGCGCTTCTGTGCTGGGTGGGTTTGCGGAGTTGGAAGAAAACAGATAAACTGTCATATCTAACTTTAGGTTGAATGATAGAATCATTAATTTCCAAGACAAAATTTAACCTGAATTTTTAAAATTTTTTTGTTTGTATCAAATTTGACTAGGGTACTCAAGTTATGTCGGTACTGACAGTCAACTAAAAGCTTATTGCGGAAATAGTGCGTGTACGAATACTTCTCAGTAAATATTCATTTAAACAGTTGTTTTTTACATAATTTGAACGATTTGCCTTAAAAGTTTGTTATTTGTGATAATAAAATACGAGATTCTTAATTCAGAGTTCGGTATCTACTAAAGACAAAGTTGGTGGTGATTTATTCTGTAGTATATGGTAGTTTTTAACATGGCGCCGAGTATGTTCCTTCTACATCCTTCTGAACAATCATGGTTTATATACTTAACCCTTAACCTCTAAGACTGACCAGCTTCTAATTTCTCCTAACGTTATCACCCCTGAATCAAACATTAAGGTCATGAGAATCAAGGAAATGATCACCAACTAATTAAGCTCTTGATTTTCAAACAAATTCTCCTTGTCAGCGCTCGAGGAAATGTATAGAGAACAGTATGGAGAATATGCATACTGATGTTAGGGTGTTGAGGGTAAAGATCTATGGGAGGAAAGACGTAGAAATCACTTCACCTTAAACAAAATGTTGCTCAGTTTCATCATAATTTTTTTACTGCAAAATTTCCGTCCAGTTCACCTGCGAGTTTTTAAAATTTCATTCTAGTTATTTCATCTCTCCATCCCGATTGAGTTACACCTTTTGGAGTTCAACAGGGAAAGTAAATATGCCAATAATTCTCCGTTCGGAAAAATTTACATTCAATTTTTAAAAGCGACTAAATTGGATGTGATGACCACGCCTGTGGAAACTTTTACGCATCATTTTCTCTCTCCATACTTTATATCTCGACAAACGCCCGCTTACGTATACGCCAATAGTTAAATCCGTGACCCTAAACGTTTAATGGAGGTTTTGGACCATTGCAATGTCGCCTCCTCCTCCTCCTCCCTGAAGTAAAACCAGCTCGCTACTAAATGCTTCAACTCGTTTCTTTCAGGCAGAACACATTCCTTTTTTTACATCCCAATAAGATGTGAAGGATTTTCAAGATTAAAAAAAAAAACATTCACTAGCTTATTTTACATAGCTTTACATTTAAGGCTGAATGGTGTTTAATTTTACAGTGCATTAATGTTACTATTTAAAACTCACTTTGAAACTTCCGTCAACGCTGTGGGGTGTCTCATTAGTCGATGACGTCAGACATAAACAGTAACGTCATAGCGAAGATTGCGGGCTCATGAAGAAATTTGATCGAAACAGCGATCAGAAAGTGCCTGCAGAGATTGAGCGCTGACGAGAACGTCCGACTTTAACCTGTTGAAAAGTGAAGGTGCAAACTCCATTATTTTGAAAGTGTGTCTTTACAAGGTAAAGTTCTGTTCTTTTTCACTTAAGCAAGGTTGATGTTCCAATTCTCGTCTGGAACGAGTGTATATTCGAAAGACGAGCACGAGTATTCAACAGCAGCCGTTCAAACTATTTTAGTTAGCCCCAGTTATTTTTTAGTTTTGTTTGTTTATGATTTTAGAAGCAAAACGACAGCAAATTCCATCTTCTTGGAAATTCAATAGATGTATCCAAAGCCACGAATTGACAAAATAGTTTATTTTGGATTACTCTCGCTGTCGCTGGAATGACAGCAATACAAATTATGTTTGTAGTCAACTGCATCTGCCCAAAACCGTACAGGCATTGACAATCTAATAATGTTTGTAAATGAAGTTTATAGAAATTGAAATTGGCAAAATATGTAAAGTGGTTGTGTTTTCTTTGGCAGTTTAACTAAGCTATACACACTTCAACCACACAGCATGGTCTTGCAATCCAATAATTTGAATATTTTCCTGTAACCAAAATGCGATTAATTCAAATATATATTGACTTCCTCTGTGAGATCGAGCACTATGATTGGGCTTACATGTAGTTTGCAATAAAATCGTGCCCATCTGAGCTGAGATTAAGTACATGAATCATCACTGGAAGGTGAAAATTTTCTGTTTGATGCAGACTTTATTCAGAGTTTCCACTCACCAATGCCCTTATCATCCATCTCCCACTGTAACTATCAGAATTAGAGCCGAATTGATAAAAAATTCATGGTTAGAGTTTCAAACATTAAATCACAATGTTAATTTGTAATTGTATTTCAGTATCTGAAAGCTTTGAAAGCACAGTTTACTTTTCTTTCCCAGCTCTTTAAATAGACAAGTCATCTTAGCTTCTTTGATGAAGTGAAATCTTTTTGCTATACAATAAATCATTTTAATGACCAAGCTTGTTCAGTCAAGATTGCTGGATATTGGCCTTGTTCTTTTTTTAAATTTTACGGACCAGCTCGGTCCATAAAAACACTAACCCTAACCCTATCCAACCATCTTGCCCTCACGCAATGTCAATAATGCATTTGTATTGTAGGAGTGTTAAGAGACGCCCTTACTTGCTAATGATTGTACACAGAAGTACTACACTGTAAATTTAAAGCCATCCTTATGATGAAGGGAGATCTAGCAGCTTAGTGTTTATCATTTTGGATTCAGATAATCCTCTAATCCCTGTGAGTTACCAAGACAGAATTTTTCCTAACATTATCAGTATGATATTAAGAAAATAAGGGCTGAGAATATTTTTATTTGCCTCAATCCACAAAGAGCCATTCACAATGTCTGATGAAGATCGCATGAGATCAGAGATTACCAGAATGCAAATGAGAGGAGACGAGCTGACAGACCAGGTATATACATACAGTATTACCCATTAAACAGTGAAAGTGACAATCATTTAATTTTTCCTTGCAGTATAATTGCTCAATCAGACATATTAGTCATGCAAATAAAGGAAATAATTGCCAACTTAAGATGCTCTGACTTGATTGTTTAACAAACTCTCCTCATCAGTTTCATCACTGAAGATTTATAGATATTGGTGTGGAGAATATTCATTTTAGTGTTAGGTTTTAACTGATTGATTTCCAAAGCTGTTATGGTGAAATTACCACAACTGTATTTCTGACATCCATCCAGTTTGAGAAGATTTCATCTATAGTCTATACTGCAGTTCTTTGAGAGGAACGGTGTCAAATTGTATTTTGTGTTTAGTTAATGCATGTTTCTATTAATATAGACATTTTATTTATTTAGTCATTAGAAAGTACTCGTCGCATGTTGCAGCTTGCAGAAGAGGTGAGTGTCAAAGTACAGCACTGTAAATTTAACCTTTTAACTCTATGACAGGTAATGAGGATACTCAAATGTATCAGGTGGAAGTTTTTATCTTGATCTTACACCAAATTCTCAAAACTAATTTATAAAGAAATGTGTAATAGCCAGAAAGGAGAATTAGAAATCAGATCCAAGGAGTTAAACAGTTAAAAAAATAACTGTTTTCCTTTGTTAACTTGGTCTATAATATAAATAAAAGATAATTTGGTTTTATCAAATGAGTTGATAATGTGAATTAGCCACCGAGTTTTTAAAGCTGATGTTTTGATTGTTAGTAAAATTGAGCTTGATATTAACCCTTTACCTCCCAGACATGATTAATATGAAACTTCTCCCTATAATATCCATACAGTATTCAGCAAACAGGTAATGAGAATATTCAAACTTATCAGGTAAAAGCTGCCATCTTGATCAAGCAACAAATTCTCATAACAAATTTACAAGGAAATGTGTAGCTGGCAGTGGGGAGAATTAACGAGCCGATCTTGGGAGCTAAAGGTTTAAACCATATGATGAATTATGGTCAAGTCGCTGATGGTTCAACTCGCCGATGTATAAAGTTGAATAGAGACGTCAGTGAGTTGGTCTTCAATCCAGTACAATTAATACTAAAGATCTTGTCAAGAAAGCCAAGTTTATTTTTAAAAAATCTGACTGATTGACATAATGAATCTTTACAGTGTTGTTGTCACACAACAATGCATTTGCTTCTAAAGCTTTTTTGGTCATTAGCGATTTCCACCTTGCTTTATTCGCCTTGAGATCCTAAAAACTTTGTTGGAAATAAAAATGATCGTTTCTACTAAAGATCTTGTCAAGAAAGCCAAGTTTTTTTTAAAAAATCTGACTGATTGACATGATGAGTCTTTACAGTGTTGTTGTCACACAATAACTCGTTCACGCCTGAAGCTTTTGTGGTCATTGCCAATGTTTACCTTGCTTTATTCGCCATGAGATCCTTATAAACTTTGTTGGAAGAAAAAAATTGTTTTTCACTGAAGGTCTTTTACTTTTCTATATGTTTAACTTCTAATAAGTTGTACTGGATTGAAGACCAACTCACCGACGTCTCTACTGGATTTTATATGTCAGTGAGTTGGCATTGGCGAGTTGAACCGTCAGTGACTTGACTGGATACCCATATGACAGCAGGGGTAGAGTGAAAAAATAAGAGAGGGTTGGGGAGAGTCAGGCTCATTATTGTCACTGCTTTTGTGATCTTTACTATTGCACTCAGTTTTACAAACTTCAGGCCTGAAATAGGCTATAA